CCCCCCACCCTGGCTCCCTGGACACAAGCTCCTGAGCGGGTAGCTTTCTTCACTTGTGCCCACCTGCAAGGCTCACCCTCCAGATCCCCACGGGGCTGCCTGAAAGGATTGCCGCTCTTTATGTTTGAAAAGTCACCAAAAGTTCAAAAACCCAACCATCTTCCTCTCACGACAGCAAGAGCCAGCGTCCTCTGGCCGTCAATTCCAGGTCTCTGGGGACCGGGGCCCCCTCCCCACAGCAAGTGCACCGTCTGGCGCCGGCCCGTGGCTCCCACCACCCGGCTGCTGGTCTCTCACCGGACAAGGTGACCCTCCAGCAGCCAGTCCCTGTCCCCACCCTGCCCCCTGCTGTGGGTGACCGGCCCGCAGGTGACGAGACTCAGGCGCATCGGCCACTGCCAGCCCGGCCGAGCAATAGGAGGGCCGCAGGCGCGCAGGCCCGTGGGGAAGGTGCCGGAAACCCCATGTGCAAAAAGCCCACAGGAGAGTGACGGCAGGGAGCGGGCGTGTGGAGGGATGGGAGGTGGCAGTGTGGCTCACGGGGACTCCTGCCACCCTCTGGGAGCCGACAGAGCGAGGAGGCGATGGCAGAGCGCTGGGCCCGGGCGCCCTGTCACAGCTGTGACCCGGCTTTGCTCTGGCCCCAAACGCATCCCTGGCTTCTCCCTGTGCTCCTCTGTGACGCCTTTCGCGAAGGAGTCTCATGCGGGCACCATCTTTTTTCTTTTAATTTTTTTTTTAAGTTTATTTATTTAGAGAGACAGAGAGAGAGACTGAGAATCCCAAGTAGGCTCCGTGCTGTCACCACGGAGCCCGACGCGGGGCTCGACCTCACAATCCTGGACCAGGACCTGAACCGAGATCAAGAGTCAGAAGCTCCACCGACTGAACTGCCCAGGCGCCCCTCGCGTGGGCAGCGTCCTGTGGGCCCCTCAGGCCAGGCTCTGTGCCCCGGGGAGGGTGTGCAGAGGCTGCTGACAGCTGGGGTCCCCGCGGACGGGGGAGCACCGAGTGCGTCCGGCAATCGTCAGAGCAGACACGGAGGGCGCGGGCAGGGCCCAGAGAGAGGCAGAGGCCGCCAGCCGGCCGACGTGAACGGCTACCGTGTGGACCTCGGTCACAAGAAGAGCCGAGGCTCGGGAACCAGGCTCGGGCGTCCCCTCCCGCCACAGGCTGGACGGCGAGCCGCTGAGAGAGGCAGCCTCGCTTCCTGCCTGGGGCTCTGGGCTGAGGCAGCCGGGAATCTCTACGGATCCCGGAGTGGGGGGCAGCTCTGCAGAGAGTTCTGGAAGCCTGCGCAGGGGCCCGCCCTGGAGGCAAAGCACATGGAATTAGGCAAAGGAGGACCACGGAAGCTGAAGGGCCACGGGAGACCTGTGAGCCTGGAGCAGCCTCAGCGTGGGCCCCTCTGTGGCCGGGACACCAGCACCTGGTGGAGGAGGGACACCAGCCCCGGGAGAAGGCCGCCCCCACCCACCTGGAAAGTGGGAGAACACCAAGGTCAGCTCCAGTTGTGCCACCGGCCACAACGAACCCCAAATATGACGCTGCGTAATAGGCAAGAACGGAGGTGCCCCCAAAAGCTTAACAGGTAGGCAGAAAACCCCGGTGCTGCCTCCCACCCCCCACCCCAGCTGCAGCGGCCCCTCGGATCGGAGCCGTCGGGCGACGGAGAGGTCTCGATCCGGACCGAGGAAGCAGTGTCCGGGCACACGTGTCTGTCGGGATTTATCACCCTCTCTCTACACTTACACGGGGTGCATTTCACGACAGGTAAACTGCACTCCAAAAAGCGGATTAAGAAAGAGATGGCCACAGGGAAACCACGGTAAAGCAAGCTTCCTGTAAAAACTATCAATAAAATACTCACAGACGCTTTTGAGAAAACGTATTTTGAAAAATGTTCTGAGTAGAGAGAGGCCCCCAAGCCCCATGTGCTCCTTACCTGCTTGTAGAACTGCTGGTCCCCCGGAGCTCTGGTTTTGAGAAACTCCTCACTGTTGAACACTCTGTGCTCATAATTTAAGTGATTCTTTACCTCCCTGAGAAAAAGAAGGTGGTCTGAGCGTGGAAACGCTTTTAAATGTGTGAAAAAGTCGTCACTACTGGGGCACCTGGGTGGCTCCGTCGCTTAAGTGTCCGACTTCAGCTCAGGTCACGATCTCGAGGTCTGTGCGTTCGAGCCCCACATCCGGCTCTGTGCTGACAGCTCAGAGGCTGGAGACTCATTCGGATTCGGTGTCTCCCTCTCGCTCTCTGCCCCTGCCCCGCTCACGCTCTGTGTCTCTCTCAAAAATAAACATTAAAAAATTTTTTTAGGGGCGCCTGGGTGGCTCAGTCGGTTGAGCGTCCGACTTCAGCTCAGGTCACGATCTCACAGACCGTGAGTTCGAGCCCCGCGTCGGGCTCTGGGCTGATGGCTCAGAGCCTGGAGCCTGCTTCCAGTTCTGTGTCTCCCTCTCTCTCTGCCCCTCCCCCATTCATGCTCTGTCTCTCTCTGTCTCAAAAATAAATAAACGTTAAAAAAAAAAA